TGGTAAATTTAATGCTGGGGGTAACCCTGCGGTGGACGAGTATCCTGTCCAGGGGGGAGTGGAAATACTCCCGTCGCTTCGTGCTGCAGAAATCGTGATAAGTTCCGGCCTAATGATGGGCCACTTTGCTCGTGTGCAGGTTATGGCGTTTCTATTTGACGTGCAACTTATTGAGGAAAACGTGGCGCTCTTCCTGGCCGATTTGTTTTTTTTTTTTATCTTCCGTTTTGAATGTCACTCGAGCGCTGGCGCCCAGTCTTTAGCTGATCTGCTTCTTTGGTTTCAGGCACTCGCTGTCTATTTTAAACGTCCGCGGTGTAAAATTGGTTTCATTATTTACTCTGTTCTTGGGGGCCTTGGATTGTAAGGTTTTGACTGTTCTTGCCGCTATCCTATATTGCCTAATCAATTAGACGACGTACCCTCATTTTTCTCTGGGGGAGGGAGTTTCCAACAAAGTTTTATCCAGGAAACGATTCTATTAATCGAGCAAATGATTTTACCAAAATGTTCCGAAATTTTAATCCTAAATTTTATTCCTAAAGTTTCAGAACGAGCTATTTTAATTTGAAAATCCCTTTTATATACCTAAATAATGGGTTTTAATCGTACCCTTTTCTTTACTTCAACTTATTAAAGCCCTACATTTTTTTATACACCCCATGCCCAAGCCTGAAAAAGATAAAGGAACCCTTTCGTGTGGAGCTTTCCCATACAGATCCTTATAAGAGTGCCCCATCCCTCCGGTCCTATTTTACGAGTGTTAGTCGATTCGGCTGCGTCTGGTTGCTATTTCGTAATAAAATGGCTCGGTATTAGTCTAATTGCTGAATTTAATGACATTAATAGATTAACTTCTGTTCACGCAGAATTTTTGGTCTTCTTTCAAGTTCCTAAAATATAAGGAAACAACAATTTTGGGGTTTGGCTGTGAAGCCTTACAACGGTCTGCAGTTATGCCTTGTTTGATTAGAGGACCATTTGTATGACGAAACGTTTAATTCATATTTAAGAGATAAAACAAATAATCTGAACAACTGAATTCGTGATGATTATAATCCCATAAAATCACAACTAATCTTTAAAGTATTACAGCCCAGCCGAGCGTGAAACAACAGCAATATAAAGCCTGCGACTAAGACAGCTATGAATACTTAATAGGTACAAGATGAATAAAAAGGACTAGAGGACGTGATCGCTCTGGTGAGACTTTGTACTCTTACTGGCGAGAACGTGCAGGCATTTTAGAGTCATTTTTTAAATAATTAGGAGCTGTGGGATTATTTTTCCAAAGCGAGACAAGTGTCGTAATCCTATTCAGAAGCACACACGGAAACTTGGCTAACGACAAATTACATTATCTTGTGCCATGCAGGTCGGCACACACTAAGGGACATGTGGCGAGAACACGAAGCAGGGACATGCTGCAGCGACAGTTTTCCTCGTGTCACAGTCCCGTTTTCGAGAACAATCTGTTACCCGCGACATGTTGCATGAAATTCAGCTGGTTTGAATTCGATGGTCACTGAAGCAGGGACAAAATGACCTCAATTTTCAATGTCGCATAGTGCGCACTGCTCTTGCAAACTGTATCCGCTACAACACATTTTAATGCCAGCATAATGCACCAGTTTGCGTACTGCTCCTGCAACATGCGTCCTTTGTCTACACACAAAAGGGCTTGTTCCGCTTCATAGACGCCGCCGTAACGTATCCCCTAGTGTGTGCCGACCTTAAAGTACACGTCCATTTGCCGCCATTACACTAACAAGCCACTATTCAATAAAAAAAAATCCTAATCCAGAAGCACAGACGCAAACTTGGCCAACGACAAATTACGTTATCTTTTGCCATGTCTGAAGGTCGGCACACACTAGGAGACATGTGGCGAGAACACGAAGCAGGGACATGTTGCAGCGTTACAGTTTTCCTTGTGTCATAGTCCCGTTTTCGAATCATGAGCACCGTTCATGCAAACTGTATCCAATACATGTACAACACATTTTAATGCATCAATCCGCTTCGTGTGCACCAGCTTGCTTACTGCTCCTCCAACATGCGTCCCATGCCTACATACAAAAGGGCTTGTTCCCGCTTCATAGACGCCGCCGTAACGTCCATTTGCCGCCATTACACTAACAAGCCACTATTCAATAAAAAAAACGTAATTAGATACTATAGAAAGTAAGCCCCAATTGCTTCTCTTTTTTTTTTGCTTTACTCTGTTTTTTTCTTTACTTGGGTCTGGTAAAGTATCTGGTTTCACATTGTTACGCAACGTGATTGGTATAAAAGCTAACGCCACTTTCTGATCCAGTCTGAAGTAAAACCAAACCCAATTGCAAGCCGCGCGCTCACGTTTCTCCTCGCTTCACTTCAGCTACATGCTCTTACTATGAGTTTTGATTGGTTCTTTAGATTGTCTGTGTCCCTTGTGGTACCATCGGGTCAACCAATCAAATGCGGAAAAAAAAAAACAATAACGACTTGGTCACGCGCATTTACCCGCGTCTCGCTCTGGTGACATGTTCTTGCTTCGTCTTCTAATTTGTCCATTGTCCTGTTTACGTTAATCGTGATTGGCCAATGTAATTGCTTTGTTTTGGGCACTCAACACAAAAAGTACTCAGTAAGGCCGTTTTCTTTTCGGAACCAGCCGCTTCTCAAATAAAACATCTTGGCTCATTCAACTAAAGTGTAGCAATAGGAACTGTTTTCAATTAGAAGTGTTGTACAAACTTTTTCAGTTGATTTGGGCCAATGCAAGAGCCCATCACGGGCGAGGGTAATTCAATTTGCGAGAAGTAAGATGTAAAGAAGACTGAAGATGGAATTTGCCCCTTTAGCCTAGATTCAGTGTTCCATTTTCTGCATTCAGGACTTCAACCTTGTTGAACCGGTTAGCCGCCTTTCAATCTTCATTGGCCTATTCCATATACGACCAAAACCTTTCTAGCTTGCTGATGGCGAGAAAAATTGGGGCGACAGCAAAAAAATCGACGTGCATGAGAGTTATGGGGCGCGCGGTCGGAATGTGGAAAAAGCTTTTACGTTCGTACAGGAACTCTTGCTACGCAAGCTTAATCTTTATTATCTGCTTCTTTTTAGCGTCGGTCGGCGCCTTTTGCCCGGTTCTCTTCTGCCTTGTCATCTTAAGTCACCAATATACAGTTAAACCTCGAGCTCCATCTCTTTTTATAACTGATAAGTCGATTACTCTAACCCACTCCATCTCGAAATCAAATAATTTCCCGTGGATATTCTTTTTCATTCATTTACTATTTCCAACGATTTTTCGTTTTCCTTGAGATATAGACAGCGGGTTCAACTGTAAATTCAAGGCCGTTAAATGCGTCAACGTACCGTGATTTTGAATGAGACTTATTCAGTATTGTTGTCATAATTTGCGTATTGGTTATTGGGAGGTTTTATGCAAAGAAAATCGAGTTAATGAACTTGAGTAACCCGGCTATATGATCAACTCATTTACGAGAGGTTCAAAATGAACAATTTCTTCATCTGGTCAACACGACCACTCGTGTAAATGGTTATCATAAACGGACCAAACTATTGCATTCTTCAGAAACCAAATCCTCCCTTCTTACCTTATAACATTCTGTATCATATGACTTGGGAGAATTCGGTTCATCACAATACCATGATCAAGTGCCTTATTCTCAGAAACTACTCACTAAAATTTGTTTTGAACCATCATGAGAACAAAGCAGCTAATCCGCGCTAGCTTGTTGACATGGCAGACTGAATCAACCTGGCATTGAAATCTTTACAGATCTTTACCCCCAAGTTATTAAAACCATGACTTCCACTGCGTTGCATGAGCTTTTTTTCCAGCGTAGCGTGCCTCTCTGTTTTGTAGTTTTTTAAATACAAGGATGATTCTTTGTTCAGTGATTCCCTAGTACACGAAGCCCCTTCCATTGACGTCATGAGCACCTACAGAGCCACGAAATCAGGCTATGTTTTCAAGACAACGACACGAAATGTGGCGCTTATGAACCACACGATGGTTTGGCTTCTAAGCTTTAAGGCTTAAATATCGAGATTTCCGGGAAAAGGCACACAAACACGGCCTCAGAGTTATACTGTGCCCGTCAAATAAACCTGTTTGGGGCTCCCTGCGAGACTCGACTTCGTAAACAATTACGTAGTGATCTAACCGAAGAACTCAAAATAGAAAATCGCATCATCACAAAATGCTAATTCAACATTTTTGTGATTGCACCTCCATGACTCATTTTTGTCGAAACGGAAGAGAAATTGGACGGATTTACGTGCTTACAATATACAGTTTCTGTTTATAAATCATTCCTAGTTAGTACCAGTTGAAAATTGCCTTCAAATATAATTCTGTAACTGGGAGGTTTGTTTGTGTAAGATTGCCGGGTGCAATATTCGTGTACAATTACATTTATACGGTACTAGAATTCAGCTAAGGACATGTCTAAGATCCCCTTCGCTCGTTTAAAGATGTACGTGATGGGATGACTCCGGCAACCCTCATTACCTCCTGCCTGTCTGCAGTGTTTACATAGTATCACGAACTCTCTAGGTGTCACAAGAAGACACGGTTTAGTAAAGAAAAAACATCGTTTTAACACCATGGTAACAGGAATATCAATGAGACTTGAAAAACAAATACTGAAAAAATTCAAACAAAAATTGACCTCAGCTTTCTACCCAGAAAAACAACCACCTGGATCATGTCCAGGCATTTTTTTTTTTTTTACTTATTTGCGAGTTTTTGGACGTGCTTTTTCAAAACCAGCCAAAATTGTCCCCAAGGAATAATTTCCAAAGAACATTTAGTCGCATTACATTCTTAAATCCTTTGAGTATTGTGGACGATGTGAGCTCTTACATAGTGTGCACACAATCTATTTCATCAACACGAACAGTTTTATACCTCAAAAAATTATGGACAGAAACCAATCTTTCAAACAAGCACCTAACGTGGAGGACCCTTCATATTCTAAGGCTAAATAGCTGGAAATGTTTTAAGAACACCATTAAAACACATTGCCTGTTATTTTGGCGCGCGTTTGATAATATTATCGTGCAGAAGACAAAAGAGTCTATTTGCTTAATTCTGATTTAGCCACGATAGCATGTTTTTCAAGTTTTAAAATAGACGAGGAAGCCTGTCTTGTGATAGAGACAGGGTGTTAATTGTTGAAATCTGGAAATGCGCTGAAGGCGTCCAAATATGTGTGTCTGGGATCGGTATTTCCTGCAAAATTCAATGGTAGGCTTTATTGTACCGATATATTGATTGTATGCGATAATCAATCAAGCAAGAATGTAACTCAGGCGGATTTAAAGAGAATTGAGCAATCTATTGTTTTTGTGTATCCAGTGGGAAGATCAGGCACGAACCACATATTAACATCGTTTTTTATGATTAGAAAACATCTGGAGGGTTGTTAAGACACTCATTCTGCACCCGGACAGAGTGAAGTCAACATGTTTGTCCAGACTGTCCAAGCCGTCCAAATGTTCACAGCTTACAGCATGCTACTGCTGTTTTTTTCAATTGGCTCTTTGCTGAAATCGGTGCCTGCTTTTCGGAAATTTATCATCGGAGCTTTTGATGCCGTTACCAAAGTAAAGTTGCCGGTGACCTCGTATTGGGACTCTTTATTCACTGATCAAATGCTCCAGAACGTATGGCATAGCGTGGCTTTAGACCTGAACAAGAAGATAAAGCAAGATTCCGAAGCGCCAAACAGCCCAGTGGTGTCACTGACTGGCAAACACTGTTTTCCTTTGTTACAGATGTCCCAATCTGGACGGCCTCTTGTTTTAAACTTTGGCAGCTGTACCTGCCCAATATTCATGAGCCAGTTAGATGAATTTCTGAAAATGGCCAATCACTTCAGCCACGTCGCTGAGTTTTGCGTTGTTTACATCGAAGAAGCACACCCATCAGACGGATGGGCGTTAAAAGTGAGTCAATATTTTATGAATTTTTATGAAATTAGGACATGTACAAAACCCAGAAATTAATTTTTGCCGTACGAATCAATGTCAACTTCGCATTTAGGAGGCTAAGAAGCAATAGAACAACTTTCCTCTTCAAGAATATAAGCGTTCAGTACCTTTTAGCTGTCACCAGTACAACTTTTCAGACACCAAGTAGCTTATATTACAGCAAAAAGATCTGTCTATTCCTATTGGTCTTTGCAAGCCCGAAATGGCTGCACCAGTATCGACTCTGGACCTCTGAAGTGATCCTTCTCCCACCATGCATTCGAGACAACAAAACATTTTAACGCTTTTATTAAGTTACCTTTTACATGCACGTCTTTTTATAGGACAACTACGAAATCAGAACGCACAGAACACAAGCCGAAAGATGTCGCGCCGCGTGTGAGGTGGCCCGAAAAATTCCCGGATGTCCGGTGGTGGTGGATACAATGCTTGACGCAGCAAACTTCGCTTACGGTGCTCTTCCCATCCGCTTTCACATCGTCCAGAACGGAAGGGTTGTTTACGAAGGTGGGCCAGGACCTATGGGTTACGACATGAAAGGAGTGAAGGAGTGGCTGGAAAGGTATCACACTGGGAAATCATTATGAGGTCGAGAAAGTCGATCTTAGAGACCTGTGAACTACACCAACCATGAACCCAAAGAAGTTGTGGCGGATATGGACCGAGACTTCGATGAAAAATAATTATTAACAGTCTTTGATGACGCAACTTCAAGAACACAATATCGTGCCGTTTTGGACAACCGAGATTTCATAAATGAACTTTGTTTTCTTAAATCAATGCCTCATTAGACACTCTCAAGTGCGTGAAAAATTTAAAATGTTGCTTCAGTAACACCATATATTCAAAGACTACTACAAATCGGTGAACTAAACCGACAGACTCATTTACGACGAAGTTTTTAAACTTGGTTTGATCGATTTCTAATAAAATATTACTATAAGTAGATTAAGCCACCATCCTTGCGCCTTTCGTGTGCTGTAAAAAGTATTAGCTTACCCGCATTAGTAAAAAAAACATTGCAATTGTAAGCAAGAAGCAGCGTGAAGAGATTTATTTATAAACTTATATATTTTATATCATATAGCAATTTCCGAATAAAGTATATACTGAGAAATATCTATCTTGTTGATTATTACTTTTTGACCGAACATACTCGTAATCAAAAACAGTTAACTAAAGTTTGTCCCTTATCGGTAGTTGTAATTCAACTGAGCTTGTCAGAGCTACTTTATACATAATGACGGCATTGGAATTGGTCTCACCAGCACAAGTGTTAGAAGCACTCCCCCGGGTTCCCTGTAACGACCAGTAAACAGCACCTCATTAGCCAAGTCTATGAACAAAGCCAACTCGCGACAACGCAAGCGCGCATTTACAATCACTTCGATATCAAGGAGTGATAAGATGGAACATTCTGAATACCGATGACCCTTTGTTGACCTCACCCAGGTTTATGTCAAGACACATTAAAATTTCTCCTCCATCAAAAAACACCTCAGCAGCCGAGTGGAATATCATGTGGATAGTATTTAATAATACCACGTGGCACAATAATAGTGTTACGTTCAAACGATAGGTACTCCAAGTACCAAGTACCTCTTAGTGTCCGAGTACAAGGTCAAGACCTTGTGCCCGGCTCGAGCACTGTGGCCGAATTCTGGTGTGAATACTTCGATTAAGATGTGTGTTCACATTAGTTTCCTGCTAGAATCGTCCTCGGACACCGAGCTCGGGTACAAAGTGTGGACATGACCTTGACCATTGAACAAAATGAACTAACATAAAGTTTTACATTGCCTTATCATGCAGATGTACAGTTTATTGTCTGCGTGACTTATCGTCAAAATCATCTGTATTAGCGTATCAACAAAAAAATGTTACACCAAATGTGTGGGAAAACGAAGGAAAGTGCGCGGGAGTCACGAGTCCGTACAGGAGGCGCGAGAAAAAGGGAAGGGGGCGGATCCCTAGAGTGACAGGGAAAACGTTGGCGGATTTTTTTTTTTTTGCAAGATTTTTGCGGATTTTCTTGAAAGACAATGGACGGAAACCACCAAAGAAGGGCTGGGACTGGGAAGTTCAGGATCTACTAGCAGTTCTAAGAGGTTTGCTCTACGCGAAAGCTGCAATCACTCCAGCACAATTGTGAAATATATAATAGTGATTTATTTTCGTCCCTAATAAAGCAATATAAATGGATATAATTGCGTATCAAAATAATCTCACCAGTAATTACAATCACTTTTTCCCTTTTAATTTCCGCTATGTAGATATAAAACTGGTTTTACTTGGCCCATAGGTCGTTTATAACCTTCGACTTAACGTAGACAACGAAGTTCAAACTAAAATTAACATTCCTAATGTTCAGTGTAGACTGAAGTCTCGGTTTTTTTAAAGCTACCGGGAGTATTTTGAGAACTTCCCTCTTTTTTTGTCGTTTAAAGTTTGGTCCATAGGTCGTTTAGGACCTTTAACTTAACGGAGACTACGAAGTTCAAACTAAGAAACATTCTTAATGTTCCATGTAGACTAGGGTATTTTTAAAATGAAGTTTCTGTTGTTCCTGAGCACTCACTTCGTGAAGACGCTAAACTGTCTTGTTCGTGTTTCCTCAGCATCATCTCCAGCAAAACATCTTCGTCTTCTTCTTCCTCTTCTAAGATTGAGACATCCCTGAATTTGCTCTGCAAGATAGCTAGCTTTCTGTTCAACACATTATAACGGTTTTTTGCATTTATGATCCTGTAGCCATTTTCATCGTCACTCGAATCATCCACGAACCATTTCTGCTCAGGGCCCACGCTCGAAGAGAGTAAATTCACGCCCAAGATTGCTTTCAACCGTTTCATTATGAACTCTATAAGTTCTGGATCCGTTTCCGAAGGTTTAAGATGGGCTTCTCTACTCCCAAAAGCTGCGTTTATGATTGAAACGAACATGTTGAGAAGTATGAGTTCCATGAGAATGCTGTAACAGAAAAATAAAGCGGGGCCAATAACACGGTCAACCTGTTCCAAATCATGAAAATAGGAAGCACCGAGGAGTGCATTGAGCATGGCTTGAAATGCCGATGGAAGCGAAATGAAATCTTGTAAATGAGCTCCGAATGATATGTGAGACATGATCACAAAAGGGAGAAACCAGAACAGAAATTGAACCATGAAGAGAATTATTTCCTGTCGCATGTTAGAAAACGTTTGATTTAAAAGTTTGATGTGGCTGTTGTATCTCAACAAGTACAGGAACTTGATCGTTGTAAGGAACACCACAAACGCGATCATGTAGGTGTCAATTTCGTTCCACGTGAGCAGCATCGAAAAGCTGACAAAAAGGAAGGGGTTATCGCTCAAGTCTTTCATAGTTGCGTTAATACTTATCATCTTGACAAAGTACAAAGCAATAGACACGAGTGCGAAAAGGACCTGCAAAAGATCTACCAAATTCCAAAATTTCCTGAAGAATGCCAGCCTCTGATGGTACATACACTTGATAACCTTGTAAAGTAAGAACAATATGACCAAAGCAATTATAAGCTCCGCGGCTAGTGCGACGTTAGCGAGCTCTCCTACGTATCTGTAAACGCGTATGGTGTCAATTCTACGGAATGTCTCCACTCCGCCAGTTGGCATGGCTTCCACCAGTAGCGATATAACACTGAACAAGTTTACTTGGGCGTTGTAAACAGTGAACTCTACAAACACACCGCGCGTGCGTCGATCAATCCATTCGTAATCGGCCAGTTCATCGATCACTTCTTGCGACTTAGCGGGGTAGTAACCAAGTTCTGCCACGTATCCTCCCCCCGAGTATACAGTTGTCGTACCCCACAGCGGAACGCCTTTGAGCTCCGTAGCTGTATGGTAACGCCATGGCCTGGGGCACATGTCATATGATATGTTTCCAATTGGTATATTAGGAGGAACAGGGACCCATTCAGGTTTATAGAGGCTTTTGTCTTCGTCTTGAAAGCTGTACAGGCCATAACAACCTCTGGCTAAATATCGTATAAATGGAATATTACTACACGTGTCTGCAAGGTAAAACGATTTACGTTAACTTAATTTTGTGTTAAGTAGATACTCTGGGAGAATTAAAAAAAAAAGCACCACGCTTTTCAGTTTTGAATACATGTTTCGACAGTAACTTCTGTCATCGTCAGTTACAACTAGAGTGATTTTAAATAGACAAGTTGCTCAATAAGTGTTACCCAGAATAACTTACATAACAAGAACAAAATTGAAATTGGAACTGAAACCAAAAGAACAACAGGCAAATGCAGAGAAAAACGCGCTGAAAAATTAAAATGAAAGCGACAAATGAACATGACGAATTTGCTGATTTAAAGCAGGCTTCTCCGAACTGATACACGTAGCTTCTTTAATTTTTACTTGAAACTTTGTGGCGGCAGAGTCCAAAATGGTGAAAGACTCGCAAAAACAAGATTTGCGACATTCCGTGAGATTTGTAATTACAGTAAAAGGCAAAAGGTTTGCTTATGTGAGTCCAAATGTAAAATTTAATTCGCAAACAAGATGAAACGCGAAACATTTAAAAATAATGTTCATTTACAGAGCGACGAAATGATGGATTTGTGATGACGTGGAAACGTTTACTGGCCGATATAGACACAGCCCCAGAAAAGTAGACAAATGAGTATATAAATACAGACAGACAGACAGAAAGACAGAGGGACAGACATTCAGAGGGACAGACAGTCAGTCGACAGACAGACAGACAGAGTCAGTGAAGAAGTGGAACCTACAATGTGGGTGGATTTTCCCCATTTCCCTTTCGACCACCCTAGTTTGCTGCGATTTGCAATGGGCTAAGGATCTGGTCAATAAAAGTTCACTCACATAGTTATAATGTGCTCTCTTTCTTACCATTCAAAACTCTTAGCTGTCTAAGACGAACCATGCCAACCAGAGCTGAATTCCTATCAATCAACAGTCCATTTTCTGAGTCCGCAGCAGGCATTCCGTTATACCATGGACCGACAAAAACAGCTGGAATGATGTCATCGCGAACCCAGTCCCAAATGCCGGAAAAATGTTGAGCCTGAAAAGAGAACAGAAACATAAATAAACATCCAAAGTATTTGTAGTTTGAAAGTAAAGCAAAATAATATACTCTGAAAATAATTTAATAGAACACTGGTTTGAACCCAGGAGTATCAGTAGTTCGTCTGGAGTAATTTCCAGGCGAGGGTAGTTGAAGATGATTTCCGCTCAGGTTGTCGAAACTTCAATCTCACCAGGCGAACAACTAGTCATTTTTGATGGATAAAAAATCAAAATACAGAATATCATTCAGCTACGCCCCACTTCGTGTTGTTCACTTTCCGCACGAAGTGTAATTTAGGAACGCGCAAAAACAACTCACCGATACATGAAATATATTCTCCAAGTGATTGGTCATCTCATACGTGATTGGATCACGGTGCCCATAAGCCACTATGAGTAAAAGAAGAAGAAACAGAGAATAGAACAACACGTCTGTCATGACTTCGGACGACTTAATCTCTTTCATTCTTTTCATCTTCGCCTTCTGTAACACATTTTTCTGCAATGGTAGAGAATCGTCCCCTGCAACCTCATCACCTAGCTGAACCTCGGTCGAGTACGCACTTCCATCATCATCATCATCTGTCTTCATTTTCCGTGTCTTAACTCGACGGTGCTTTTCTCTTTGCTCCATGGAAAATTTTACGAGAAAAGCAAGCAACGCTGAAAATAGGGCAACTTTTACAGGCTGAGAGATCGCGGCATCTTGAATGAAAGACACAAAGAATGACAAAAGCCACTGTTGTGATCGCTCACTTCCCCACTCGAGGGAATACATCAAGGTGAAGAACGCTGAGACAAACACCGACACGAAACACAATATCCAAGCCAGGTAGTATAAAAAGCGGTAGAAATATCTTTTCCTTTTTTCCTTGGTTATTATAGAGTCATCTGTCTTGAAGTTGAAAGTGCTCTCAGAACCAGAGGTGATGGTAGACATACTGCTTGTGATATGTAGTTGGTATGGCAAAGGCAGGTACTTACGCGACGATGGCCTCCGTCCGAATCGTCGATTAAAGATCGTTAATTCTGACTTAGGCAGCGTAGTTTTGGTAGGTAGCGTAGCTTTGGATTTCTCCTCGACTACAGGGATAGTCGTTGTGGATGATTTACGAAACAGCTGAGTTATGCCCAGGTTGATGGGAAATATGATCAAGCTGCTCTGGATCCCTATCATCAGTTGACGCATGCTGATCTTTATAGGACCGAGATAAAATACAGGAGAAGTGTCAGCTTTCCCGTTATCATAAAACATGGCGTTTGCGATCATTGTGCTGAACAGAATCGACAAACAGCACGAAGCCCGCTGCACACGAGTAAAGCTGCTCGCCGGTGGTTTGGCGGCTACTGAAATCCAGAGATGCTCGTCATAAAGACCATTTGCACTATTTGACAAAAACAGATGCTTGTAATTAGACATTTCGCCTATGTTTGCAACGTAGATTACTTTTTCCGTCTTCCCATCGTCATTTTCAACTGCCAGCCACTCTCCGCACATAAAACTCCACCTTTCGTCACTCAGAGTGTCCCAGACAACCACGTGATCGAGATTCCAAGAGGGATCATCGCCCGCGTTGTCATGCCAAATATGGAGATATAGCAACTGGCCTAGCGAGCTTGGAAGGTACATAGTGCAGGTGACAACAGAACCTCTGCTAAACTTCACTTTGGCGAGCTTGCTCAATGGAATTACACCGCTAGACCCGTTTTCTCCAACAATGATGAAGGCAACTCGAGCTGTGGTTCCTGAATTTCTTCCCTTACTGGTACATATCGTAACTTCATAAGCATTATGGTTCCACGGCTTCCCGATGACGACAATTCCTTTCTAGAGAAGTATAATTGACAGACAGAAAGTAAATTCATTGAATGTACAGGGAAATACTTTCATTGATCATTACTATTTAAACACTAGTTGTTTCGCTGAACCAGAAATCATTTCTTAGTAATGCAAATACCCTCCTTCAATTTAACAGATCCCATCACTTCCTCTCTTTTCCAAAGAAAATAAACACTGTTAGTTTGGGGTCAGAAGTGAGAAAATAACATAAAAGAATAAATAAATAAATAAATAAATAGCTTCGTTTGGACGGAAAGCCAGTTGATTCTGAAAAGCACATGTAAGAACATTTAACGGCCCTGTATGTCCCCCAGCTGTAAATACTTGACATTCATTGGTCATCACCTGGGAATCACGATCTCTTATGTCAGCTCTCCGTGCCCATATTATGACCAGAAGATATAACAAGAATATACTGATCATTGTAGCCAGTACAGCCATATTGTTATGAATATCATCAAAGGCAATCCACACTTTATCGAAGTCGATTGGGTTTGGCTTCACAAGGAGGCCTCCGCCGAACGAGGTTAAATGCTTGCAACGACAGCTCAAGGTTCGTGATAGGGTACGTCGGCGGCCAGTCTAAAAAGGAAAGAGAAACTTCAACTGTCAGAGGGTAAAACAAAGCAAAACCTTGAGAGGTAAGATATGGTATGGTCTAGGTCTGGCCTGGTGTGGGAGGGGTTTTCGTTTGGTCTGGTCTGGATTAGGTTTTCTGGTCTTGTCTTCTTTGGCCTGGTGTGTTCCTGTCTGATTTTCTGGTGTCATATACAAAATTAAACTTGGCATATGTAACCAAGTAGAAATAACCTTCTTCATCCAAAAATGTGGCAAACATTAAAGTTAATATTTCCCCCTTACCCTGCATCCACCCCCGGAGAACTGGTTACTAGAAGGATTCCAATAGTTGCATCCCAGGCCCAACGACTCCATTGTGTAGTTGCTGTGTTTGGACTGGTCATAGCCTTCTTGGTTTGGAGCGAACTTTCCATTCGGAGGTTGGGTAGGAGGTGGATCTTTGTATTCAATGCAGTTTAGTGACCTTTTGATACGTCCTCCTTTCCCACAATCCCTCCTTTCTCGGCTATGAACGTCGCGCTGACTTCCAGCTTCGTATTTCACACCTATGTAATACGTACCCTCTTTATTCAAGTATGTGCTTGGCAGGAAAATGCCGTAAGGATTCTCCGTGCAGTTGTCGTGTTCAGAAGAGCAGCTCGAAAAGTTGGGTAATTTTGCCTGCAGGTCGTACTCCAAGATTGTAGGTTTTGCTCCGTACTTTACTAAAATTGTCATTTGTTCTTGCTCTCCAAGTGATTTCACATAGAATTCCATAGCGCCATTGGTCGTATCCACTTCAGAAATGTGGTACTGTATACTCTCATTGTCTCTTTGCTTAAAGAATACTTCTGATGCTGACAAAGGGGTTAATGGTTCGAAAGGAATCTCTAGATCGATTTCCTCTGCTAGATTGGAAATGTTTATAACTTGGCGGGTTAGGCCAAGTGACGCTATCACTTTGACATCTAGGATGGACGTTGTTACTAACTCGCTTGACTTGTCCCAGGTGAAAGGGTTTGTTGGGATGTACAGCAACTAAAACAAGAAAAGAAAGACAAGATTTTGGTCCTTCAACCAAGAAAAGTCTCAAAAGTGATGCCCAGACCCCGTTTAAAGGCGATCTCGTTATTGCGGCCATTACGCCAGCTCGTTGGGCGTACGTGAAAAAAGACTCAATGCGATCTTGATTATGGCCCTCCTTACTGCAGTATTTAGATGGCCTACATGTACATTTACCGGATTAAATACTACTCAGGTAACCGTAGAAAGAACTATTAATATCGTACTGTTATCAATGAAGCAAACGCCCAGAAACATTCTCAAACGCTTGCCAAGATAACCTTTGGCTGAGAACAGATGTGGCTGTTTCTGGGTAACTTTACCAGAAGAGTTTCAAACCCAAAACGACGTTAATTCACAGGTAGCGAGTACTGCTCGGCACAATTTGCTTCCTTAACACTGAATTACACGAATGTACGGTTTACCCGAGATAACAATCTGGATGACAAAAATGAAAAGAAATAAACTTAAATACTAACACATCGCCAAGAAAAAGACTCACAACAATTCGCAAAAGGTACAAAAAACTGTTTCTCACCATTTAGGTCTTCGGTAACACATGATACGATCCGATGGAAAACGATTTTGTTTATATCTAAGCACCACGCGATGCGAAAACACAAAATGACGGAAAGCACGACTAGTGAGCGGTTACCTAGCACTTGAAGAATGTCCGTGGATACACAATCTGGCTGAACTGCAGCCACAACAGCATTCAAATACAGGGAATGAAAATAATAATGAAATTACCCCAAAACTTAATACTCGTATACCTGAACATCCACTGCCCTATTTCCGAGTACATCCGCGATATCTGGAAACTTTACACTTGCATTTCCTGCCCTGAGGGGTTTGTCGGCAATAGCGGTGCCCCTAGCCCTTCTGCAGGTCAGTATAGCGGACTTGGTTTGAATTTCGATGTCATTTTGCCCGGGCAACTGCTTGTTGAATATAGCCTCGGCGACTCTGTCAAAATTGTCCATGTTTCGGTAAGCTATTTCCTTACTCTAATGGCGAAAAAGTGAACGGAAAACGCTGTTAGAACATTTTGCTTGCACCAACCCTATAATAATAATAATAATAATAATAATAATAATAATAATAATAATAATAATTGTCGAGGCTAATCGCCGTCGCAAAGTACAGCAACGACGCAGCTCAACAAGGTCGAACCGAAAGCATACATTGGCGCCTCTGGCAGCCGCTATACGGTCCATGTGCGACCTTGGAGCACAGCTTACAGCCAGCTGGAATCAGCTGTATGTTGGTTTTTGCTGAGGGGGGAAAACCGGAGAACCCGGAGAAAAACCCTCGAAGCAGAGAAGAGAACCAWCACAAACTCAACCCACTTATGGCGTCGGGTCCGGGAATCGAACCCGGGCCACATTGGTGGGAGGCGAGTGCTCTCACCACTGCGCCATCCCTGCTCCCCTATGGTTGTAGAGAATAAGAATGAGAGATTTTCTGCATGAATAATGATCAGAACGTCAGTGCTGTTATTTTTTTTTAGCATAGAGTAAAGCTGTTGTGGTGTAAATGACATTGCGAATTACGCTAGAAACTAGACACTTAAACACTGCGAGTGTTGCGTGACGTATTGTGTTACATTATAATTCGTTGTCTTGTATATGTAGTGTGACTTCACTTTATTATATGAGCCTGAAATCCCCGTGGTTGCAGTTGGCCGCCATGTTTTCTGTAGTAAGAGATTTGGTGATTAAAGCCTAATATTCTACAGGCAAACGTCTTCTCTTTATCCACAACAGCAGTTATGTGCTTTTAAAGATTTAAGCTGTTTTCAAATCTTGGACAGTGAAGTCAAGTATTGCTCTTCAGCGCACGTTGAATCATGGTAAATGACCACACCAAATATTTATTCTCACATAAAAAGAAACACACCTTTTCTTGATCGGCATCATTCGTGGCATCCTTTCGACGGAAATCGGCGTTATATGACGCTGACATTAAGATGTTGAACACAGCACTAACAAGATTCACTGCTCCTTCGGTGACAACAGACACACCAATGTCGTCTTGCGATTTGTTCACCAGAAGAGTGATCATGCTTGAAATTTTGTCAGTGGCTATTTGCTGTCACGAAAAGCAATAGAGTAAGATTAGAAGCTAGCAAAACAACTTTCGGCATTCTCTGTTTCAGAAGCCGGGCCGGCTTTGACGCTCTTTAATCTTTTATCCTGATCATCACCCTTCGTACATGAGACTGCAACGGCCGTCAGTTAGTTCTAAGTTTTGCCTGTCGTATGCACGTCTTATTAACCATTCACATCCCTGTAACTAAATAAGTCAGAACAACCCATCGTGACGCTAAACACGTGCTACAAAGATCGTAATGAAGAATCGCATCAGTTAGCAGATTACTTAAACCCGAAATGCCCAATGACTGTTATAGATTTGTACCTGAGCTGTTGAGTTAACTTGCTCCTTGACCTCTGCAGCTGCCGCTATCATGGTTGAAACTTGATTGACTTCTGTCAGGGTTGAGATCGGAATTCTGGAGATCTTTTCCATGACGGTATAGCGGACCTGTAGGAAAAAAAGGTTGGGCAGTAAAATTTGATATCACCCATGATATTGAGATCTTTACTTTGTTATGGTTTGATCTAGTCTCCTCCGCAGCCGTTTTTTGGGATGTCACGTTTCGGGGGGAGCGTTGCGTGACATCCCAAAAAACGGCTGCGGAGGAGACTAGGTTTGATCCGGCGCTGAACTAGTTTCGACTTGTTGTCGAGGAAAAAAATGCAGAGTGCTTCTTTGCCCTTCTTTGTTTGTTTGTTTATTATTTTGATTTTTTGTTTTTTTTTATTGCTTGTTTTTAGAAACTCGACGCTCTATCCAAAATTCTTGGAATGGCAATTGTGTGCACGTTTCTCTGCATATTCGCTCCCATATTCGAAATTAACCAATGAAATGCCACGTCAAGCACTGATCTGATATGGCTACGATATCATGGTCACTTGGCCGAATTTGGGTACGGTAAATAACTAATCGTGTCGTTTTTAGTACAGTTCGGAGGCGTATCAGGCTCGTTTGGTCTCGCCAGGGGTATTTTGGCTCGAATACGAACCATGGTTCGATCAAACTCGCCCGATATGCCGCCGAAGCGTATCAAAAAGCTACGATTAGGTATAAATACAGACCTCACCTCCTTCTGCAATTCGTAAACGCTTGAATCATTCCCTAAGTGTGTTGCCTCATAGTTAAGGTTGGAGAGTACACCGCTGACCAATTCAGAAACTGAATCGATGTCTCCGATGTTTATGTAAAAATCAAGTTTGCTGTTGTAGTTCAAAACCAAGTCATCGAGTTCTGACTGGACAAAATTGCGCGGAAGTACCTGCAAGGAGAGATAAATATGTTATTTAACTAGCGTGAGGTCCATATGGAAAATGTTACTTCAAGGTTATAAAGCTACAAGGGTTGAAAGTTGGCAAGGGCCTCAAAGGCGCTTCCGAACTGAATGGGGTTAAAACTGTCATCAGTCTTTTCGATAAGTTTTGGCTAGAAAACACTTCTTACTTCCGTACTGGATTGATTTAAGTGTAGCTACAATGGTTAAGCAACCATTTAAATGGAAACACTTGCACCGATACTTCTTGCATAATGTGTTTTTACCTTAATTGATCTCTGATCCGCTATGCGCTCTCCAAGAGAATCGATAATGCTGAAAAAGACCGTAAGCTCGAAGTTCTTGTCAATTGGTTCTCCTGGAGCCAGTTTGACTGAGAACTGTTCTTCCTCTGCTCTAAAAAGCAATGGCTTTAGTTGCGTGTATGGATCATAGTAAGAGAACACGTAAAGAAGAGGCAAATGCTTGCTCTTCCACCCAGAACATCCAAACGTGAACATGGTTTCATAAGCTTTACCTTCGGAAGGACCCACGGAACAGTTCCCTCCGTGTGGAGGACGACTAGTAGTAAAGCTGTATTCGGTGAGACCTTCATTAGGGAATGATCTGTACCGGAGTCGTATTACGTAGGACATCTCTGGCTTTAGTACATTAGCTTTCAGCACAAGATTCTTTGAGCTTGTGTTTGATAGTGCAATGCTCTCCAGATCATCTACTTCGATCCAGTTTAACAGACCCGTCTCGTTAACGTTCCTGTAGAAAAGTTCCCAAGAAAATGACGACGTTGAGTTTGTTTTTGAACACTCATTAGAGACACATCGACTTGTGACGGACAGGATATCAGTAGTGAGAACCATGTGTTTGCAGTTCACTTTGCACCTGAAATACAAAACGTTTGTCTCATCATAATTGAAACAAGAGAGATAAGATAAGATAACTTTATTTATACACGGTTTTTCCATCAGTCAATTAAAAACTGCTTTTCATGGAGGCAGTGTCTAAATATTTTCTTAATATTAAGATATTACTTAAAACTGTGGCGACTTAATTTTGATTTGAAATCGGTCAGTGAAGATGCTTGTCTTAGGTCTATAGGTACGTAAGTTGTTTCACAACTGAACTCCGCTGTACGAAAAACATCTCTTAAGATAATCAGTTCGAGGAATCACTAGGCTAGGGGCTAGAAGTCACACACTGTGTCACTGGTGGCTTTGAAAAATGAAAACTGCTGTTTCCAATTAGTTCTCTTTAGGATACAATGGCTAATTCTCTCTATGAGACACGTTTGCAGGGAATCAGGGTACTTGTGTCCATCAAAACAATGCAGCAGTGCAGTCCAAGATGATTAATACAACTACCATGATTCTCTGCAGGCATGTCTCAAAGAGAAAATCAGGCATTAGTTTTCGGCATCCAAACATGGTCATTGCTCGAGTTATTTTTGTCTTCCTCTGGCTGGCTGGGAGACACAGAAGTGCGATGAATAGATAAACCGGGTATAAGCAGTTACTTTGATTAGCCAATCAGATAAAACGTTGTATCGAATCTGTATTACATTACAATATGTTAATGCAAACCTTATATGGAACTGAGATATTTCCGCGTCTTTCATTTGGATAACTGTTGATTTTGTGGCCTCTCTGTTACCGGACACCAACACTAATTTAATTACATAAATTCCATTCTTGATTATCTTTTGTCGAGGAAGAGATATATGTGAGGAATTCATTGGTAATGTTCCGTTTTGATTGAAACAGCCATCTGGCAATGGATTCTCAACGAGGACATCCAATAAAGTGGAAAGAGGTGTTTTTGAGGCACTGAAGTCTGTAAACCTGTCAGTTATATTATAGCAGTACCATTTAAATTCCAAGCCACTTCTATCTAAGGTATCAGGGTCCCGTGAACCAGTTGCGTTGATAACCACTGGTCGTGAATACATCCTTTCGTTGGCGGAGCCTTCCTGCATGTCGATGATCAGATCGGAGGTTGTGACTCTAACGTATCCTTCAGCAATACCCTTGATACTAAAGGCGTTGACTAATGTGAGCGTAAGTTTGATAAGATATAATCCATACTCTAGTTCCTTGGACAGTAAAATGAGGTGCGACGTTGCTGTCACCTTGGTATTCTGCAGCACAAATCCCTCCCCCGTTTCGTTTTTAGATATTTCCCATTGAAGAGTCGCTCCTGTCGCCCCTTCGCAATCGATGTGGTACCGAGAACGAATAGTGACTTCTTTAGAGCGTGTAATTCCAGTTGGTGTAAGTGGATTGCTTGCAATGTTCGACAGAGTCACATCAGGCGTACGACAAGGTAGCTCTGTTACTACCACAGTGGTGTTTACTGACACACATTCGAATCCATTCTGACCACTCCAAGTTATATTGTAGACCCCAGCGGTACTATAACTGTAGTTATATAGCACGGACGGATAGGTAAATGATGAATTTTCGATGTAATTTTCACCATCATTTGGCGTGCAGCTCAGCGGTCCAAAAGAGACCTTTTGGCTATTTCCAAGATCTAAAGTAAAACAGGAAGGATATCCTGTTTCACCTGCTGTGAGGTTCAGCGTCAGGACATTCTTGACCATAACTGGGCCGTTGTGGTTTATGCTCATCTCAAGTGTCCTTGGTACAACCTTCGTTGTATACTTAGCGCTGCTTGAACTGATGGTGTTGTTGCATGTAAACGTGACCGTGTAAGATCCATACCACGTATACTTATAAGTCCAGGACGATGTCAAGTTAGAATACATAAAAAATACTTTGCTCTGTCCTCTACCATCAAGATTTAACCAGCACTGGAAGGCTGTACCTTGCTGAACAGCTAAAGAGCACACAGTCATGTCAGACAGGCCAACAGTTTTGTTGCAGGCGACCTCAACTCCGACTAAAGGCACAAGCCTCAAAACGGCCACTCTATGGAGAACACTTTCGCTGCTGACGTTATTGTATGCGCTGATATTGACGTCAAAGGACCCATTACTTGAAAATGAATAATTAAAGATTCTGTTTGTCGTCGTTATTGTGTGCCCATCGCCCATGTTAAACACAAACTTGGGGAGAGTTCCGTTTGTAAGGCTCAGGAAAAATAATATTCGATCCTCTTGGAAACACGACGGGTATACACTAAGACACTGGATCGTCACGTTGAATCCATGTATGGCAACTTCACTTATGATCAAAGCTGACGCGTTAGCTTGACTGACAGCGTTAGAGGCGTAAAACAGGCCATTGCAAACTCCAACAGTGTCAAAAACACAAGTCACCAAACTGTCCAAGTTGCTTGGTCCGCTCAACCAGGTGGTCAAGAATGGGAGTTTGCACTCATCATACGTCGCCTTTACTGATACGTTCGTTCCCTGGGCTATAAAGAATAAAAACCGTGCTCTTTCTCCGACTGACACAAAGTAAACATCTCGATCAACCCTAAACCCTTCCACAAGATCTTGCACAATTACCTGGCGGGTTGATGTTAGCATGCTCACCTTGTTTGCAACGATCACTTTAGCAGGGAACAGGCCAGCTTGAGGGTAGGAATAGTTTGCCTCGAAGCTAATCGAACTGATAGCCGACCCATCTCCGAAAAGAAAGGAAATGTTAGGTGCACTAAGGGATATGACATCCAATGAAATGTTGAAACGAGATGATGTATTTGTTACTACAGCACTAGGCGCCGTGAAGTTTAGCCCAGAGAGTTTTACTTGGACATGTGCCATTTTCCAAATTGTCTGGTTACTGAAGAAATTAAAAGCGTAGACTTTGACTGCATAGTCACCTTCTGATGTGTAATTATGCTCGTTTGTAAGGAAAAACGGGGTTGTAGCGTTTGCCAAAATATTCTGAGATACGGTTTCGTTCCCAATGTCATCTCCCCAGTTGATGACCACGGTCGAGTTTGTCCCGAGACTCAATTTCCACGAAACAGACAAGTTTTGACCCAGAACCACGGAAAAATTGTTGCTGACAAAAGATAACCCAATGACTGTGAAAACAAGAAATACAATATGTAGTTACGGATAAGAGACAACTCGGAATATGGGTCTGAATGGGGTGGCCCCTTACAATTTTGGCTTTTTACGGCTAACAGTTAAAATTTTCCAATTTTCGTACCTAACGACTAAATTTGTGGCTCGTTAATTAATACGTAGAGTGAGACCTAACGAGGCAACAACATGCATGATACTAGAGTCCGGAAGCCAAGATGCAACCGTGGAGCGGTCTTTGGAACTTGCTGGATCTTGCCAGTGCAGTGAGCAGCAAAGAACCGAGCGGAAATGCACAACTGTTTACTAAGCTTACCTGGGCATGGGTAGTTGCAAGGAGCAATTTGCTGAATCAAAGGACAGTGGGCTCCACTGGTTTTAGTGACAGGACTGAGACATGTCTTGATTCTTGTCTTGACAGGTGTGTGTCCACATTCGGTGCAGTTACTCCAAGAAGACCACTCTGTGTCTAGTCCTCCATATGCTTTGGGAGTTGTTTTATGAAAGGAATAAATAGTAATGCAGTTATACAGACCATTATTCTAAAGTTCAGATCCACTTGACAATTCAAGGCAGGGACGAGATCGCATGTTAGCCGTATGAGCCGCGCGTGGCAGCCAATATCAGTCCATCCATACAGTCATATATTTTATAAACAAACTGCACTGGCTGCACTCGTAGAGTATTCTACTTTCAAATCAAACCGATTTGATCGCTATATCATAACCTTATCAGATGTTCAGGAAAATCATTACTGTCTTAGTTTTAGTTTTAGTTTACAAAAGCTTCTTCAACATTGTATGTATTTATGGTCATGAAAATAAAGCTAGCTGTTTTTGTTGTTGTTGTTGTTGTTGTTGTTGGGGCGATGTTTGGACAGTATTAATTGCACAGGGGAACAGAGGAGTCGTATTTTCAGCTAGATTCACTCTCCTAATGTGACGCAAATCGACCTTGTTGATTCAGATCAGTATAGGTAATTAATCTAAGTGCCATCGGTGTTAACAGGTGTTAAGTGTCCGTTGAAACTCATATCACTACTGACGACTTACAGTAGAGAAAGGTGAGTTGTGAGAGAGTATATAATTTGGAGTGTAATATCCGAGAAATATAAAAACTTGGGAGATCTTAAAAATTCGCATTTTACAATTTGATGATCGCTGTGTTCGGTCAGAAGAAGAAGACCAAGGAGCGATATTCGCGCAGTATGGTCCCGAGGAACTTAGTTGATAATTGTACACGGCTGCAAAGCAGATTATATAAACGCTTGAAAATGCACCCTTTTCCTTGCTTAATGAAAAAGCGTATATATGCTCAAATCACGTTATATGTGAGATAGAATGGCTGAAAAACCGCTTTAGACGATGTATGTTGCAATATCAACATTGGGAGTTGTGTGTGATTGTGTGGCAATCTTTGTCATACTGGTAGCCCTACTGAACGTTTGTAAATTCATTCGTAATTGCAATCGTAAATTCGACAAGTTCCTCTTCAATTTCTCCCAGTTACAAACAGTTGCAACTGTGTGCCTGGTATCTTTCATTAAATTTCTCCTTTAATCTAAGTTTTCTGTGAAAATCAAAGCCCCGGATCAAAGCCCAGCGAAGGGTTGATATTGATTACCCAATACTAAATATCTAGTTATATCTTACCTGTCTGGCAGCTGTAATACATTGTAAATTCAAATTGCGACCCACAAGAACCTCCTAATATGGATTTGCTGTGATCGATATAACAGGAGTTCCTGCCGTCGCATAAACTCTGAATTATCTTCATTGCGTTGGAATTACCAGCACATTCTCCGTCTCTCTGCCAGGAAACAGCATGGGTGACAATCACCATGTCGTCATAGCAATGCAGATCACGTGGTATCAATGTCCAGTACTCGAACTGGCTCATATGATAAACTTGGGAAAGAAGGTAGAAATCATAACATTATTTATAAATATTTGGTGAGATAATCAATACTTCTGTTGACTCTCGATAACTCGCACCCGTCTAGGGAAAACAAAAAAAGCGAACTCGAGTTGGTGTGTAGAGAGTTGTAACTCAGTGTCGGGATCGATCGGAGATGAGACTGAAATGATCGAGAATAAGGGACATTTACAGACACTTTGCATTTCAATCAGGCTTACGATGGACCTACGGTGGAGGCTTACAGCTTACGGTGGAGGCGCGGTGGCCTCATGGTTAGTGCGCTCGTCCTCGGATCGAGCGGTCCGGGTTCGAGCCCTGGCCGGAGACACTGTGTTGTGTTCTTGAGCAAGACACTTAACTCTCACAGTGCCTCTCTCCCCCCAGGAGTATAAATGGTTACCGGAGAATTGTTGGGGAAACCTAACAAATTGCGGGGAGTGACCAGGCCTAGCACCCTGTCTAGGGGGGAGTAAAAATACTCCTAGCCGCCTCAGTGCTACAGAAACCGGGATAAGCCCCAGCAGCTATGAGCCAGTCGGCACTAAGGTTTCACACTACTTACGATGGACTAGCATGCCATCGAGGGGGGATTAGAAATACTCCTAGTCGCTTCATGCTGTAGAAACAGGAGTAAGCGCCGGCCTGTTGGACCACTTGGCTCGTATAAAGACTTTACCTTTACCTACAACTACCAACCTATCTGCACTCACTTGACTGACATCTGTAAGTGACATTAAGAGGTTTCTTAATCTCAGGACATGAATCGTTGAAAATATCTGCAGAAGCTTCCAGATAACACTGTCGTCTTCCCTGGCATCGTTTCATGACAGCAATCTTGCTTCTGTTGTTTGACGAGCAGCTGCCATTTCCGTAAAACACTGACCGGATCTCAATCACCGTATGATATTTCTCATTTAGCCCGAACATAGGACAGACAATTGTGGTATTTTCGCCCTCATTAAGGCTGATATTGAGATCTGAAAATGAGCAACGAATGGAATAATTGTTTTATTAAATTCGGTGCGTTTGTATTCTTGGAAATATAGCTTAATTTTATTGGTTTTTAATTTTACAAAACGACCGGAAGTCGATGTGACAAAAACAACAACAAGTGGGAAATCACATGACACGCTCGCCGTTTGTAAAATTAGTTGAATGAAAAATTTGAGAGCGAAGCAAGCGAATTTGCTGAATGAAATTGCAATCAAGTAGAATTCAAGAAACGTCTATCA